CTGACTTTAAACTCTAGCGCCTCATGTACATTGTACAAGTATTGATTGTTAATTATAAAAGCTTTTTTACTTACGTTTTCTAGTGAGCAGCTGGTAAATTATATTTTAAGCAAACATCTCTTGTCAAAGACGCAAAAAAATTTTCTTCTTTCACATATTTCAATCAGTCACGGCTAATGCATGCATGCATGCATATAGATAAGAAATGATGAATTCTTTGGCAAAGTACTGTGCTAAAAATAAGTGGGCCAGTTTTGGGGCAGTTCAAAGAAATACGCAATCTGCTTTTGGTATTAAAACAGTATATATTCTTTCTTTAACAACTCGATGAGTACACAAGCTCTTGAGAAGAAAAAATGTGATGCTGGAGTATTATACCTCCAAATTATGAGAGAAAAAGTCATCAGCTACGACTAATGGTGCACGCGCGCCCATGTATACGTATGCGTGTACGTGTGTGTGTGTATGTGTGTGCAACACATGGGATCACCCGCTTCGTTGATCGCAGCTAAACGGGATACGCGATCCGCTTTTCCCAATGAAATTTTCTCTCCATTAACTCGATACGCTCGCTCTTGAGAAGAACAAAAAAAACAACGATTACGCTGAGACTCCTAAAACAATGAGCGGAAGAAGAAAATAAAATCCACTGATAAGAAATACACGTTCGTGCTTGATGATCTTTCTCTCGCGCTGTACGTTGGGCTTGTCACCTATACCTTTCGGACCCATCCTGATGACGTCAGAACTCGATTCACGGTAAAAAAGGAAGGGAGCCGTCAGTAACATCCGAAGTCACAGCATCCGGAAGAGGCCCCCTTCCCCTGACGTTACCATCCGAGTAGTCCGTACCCCCCACCGCCCCTACTACCTATACCGCCCGTGCCCCTCCTCCCACCGCCCGATCAGCCTCTCCTTCACCACCTCCTCTTCTCCACCCACAGCTATAGCTAGAGCCTCTCCCCCCACCACTACCTCAGGGGGGTAGCTGGGGGGGTGCCAGAACCGCCATGGTTCACCTACTGACACTCTCTAAATAATTGAGTACGGTTGATGAAACTTGCATCACGCATAACAATAAAATGCGATAAAAATCGTGATTTAGGCTTGGGAAAGCTTGACAAACATTGTCAAGCCTATATTGATACCAAAGAAGACGATGTTAAATGTTTGGGATGATTAAAAGACTATTGTTCAGTATTTACTGCTTGAACCTGGCAACACAATCAGTTAGTCTATATAGTGTTATGAGCAAATGTAATTATAGCAAATGCTTGAAACTATCATTTTGTCTAGTCTCTGCAAAACTCTTTGAATAATGTATGGGTAGCTTTAAGGGAGTCCAATGTAAATAACTAACTTTTTTTTTTTGCTCAGAAATCTTAGAAGATATGCAAGTTACAAAAAAATGCTTTTCTCTCAGCCCGTAATTTCAACTAATACAACATAACATTGTAGGCTTATACAATAAACATTATATAAATTGAGATCACTTTTATACAGTTTTAGTTTTTTTTTCATACATACGACTATTACTCACTAATAAGTGCATCAATTTATTGTATTGTATTTGTTTTTTCCTTTTTTTTTCTTTTTCTTTCACGTTTTTAATATTATGTCTAGTTTGAATAACATCTAGCACTATCATGTGTAGGTGGTCTTCTGCCTTTCGTGTCTTAGCAGTAAAAGGGTAAAAATTTTCAAATTACTTTATTTCATTTAATATTTATTTATTCATAATTTTTATTTATTATATTAAGTAGTTCGTCATTATCTTGTGCACTTAAATTTGAATGTGACCGCAGCGCCTGGGTAACTTGTACAAACACTAAGCTAATGTTTGAAGGCGCTCACCTAAAAAGTAAAAAACCTTCTACAAAAACAAATTGACAAGGGTACAAAGAGCCTTGAATAATCCTGGAGAGGCAAGCCAACTTTCGGCTAGGACCTATTATTTGGCGTCACCTAATTAAGAGAAATATACGACATCCAAGCAAGTCATGCGAATGAGCCGAGATCAAAGTCATCGTCTTTGGAGTCTAACTTGTAGTAAGGTAAATACTTTTACGGTGTCTACTGGATGATTTATCTGTATATATCCCACTGGTCAAGTTGTTTACCTATATATGAATACGATTGTGTAGGGTGAAATAAATCCGGGATAACTAAATCAGCGAAATCTACCAAAAGATAACTCAAGTTATTTCTACCTCGTGATGACATGAACATTCATTTTCATAAGGGCGTGAAAATTTAAGTTTTAGATTTTAATTACTTAGAAACAACTAGTGATGTAAAATTATTTCAGTATTTAGTACAGATGGAAAAGCAATGTCCTTATGTAGCTATACTGGTATTTCTTAAATAAATATGACATATTAATTAAGACTTTTAATGCTCTTATTTCGTAGTAACCTTCCTTTCCTCAATAATCTTTAAAAATCACTGTGGCTTGCAAGGATTCTTAGAATATTCATTACGTGTTGGACCTTGATTCCTTGGTTTTCGTAGAAATCACGATTTATCAGTTCACAAAAACTACTGTTACAGTGGAAAATTAACGTGACAAATGCCAATACTCACTGAAAAACAAAGAATTATAGGCTACAAGTTTCGTAAAGTGAAAAGTAAGTAGCACTTTTTTAATTGCGACAAACGTAATAATAATTTAAAAACAATGGATTTTTCTTTTTTTATTGCTTAATGATTTATTTTGCAACTGTTCTATCAACAATGCATACTTATATCGTCATTTATTTATTCAAAGCCAATAGAGAGCATATGGGTACACCATTTAACGCTCTATTTAAACAAAGTTTACTTTACTATTAAATACTTATGCCTATATGAAAAAAATGGTGCATAAATAGGGAAGACAAGAGATAAAGGAGCTTTTTGTCCATGTATGGTACTCATACAACTATGTTATAGACTGCTATTCGCCATTTTATTTCTTTTGTCCTTGTCAAAACAAAAAAACATCGATCCTGGCACAAAAAATAAATTAATCATGGGATATGCTGTCGTAACTACTTACTGTAAACAACGAAGTCTAGTCCCGTTTGTATCATTTTACACGTGGATCAATCGCTGGGCATACCAAACACGATAGCCACTGAATAAAAATTACAAGGTCTGTCCAATAAGTACTGAGCTTACAAATGGAAAAACAAGAATTTTGAATGTTTTTTTTTTCAACATAATCTGCTTTAAGCTACATATGCTTGACCCAGTGGTACTTAAACTTCTGTCTATTTAACTTATCAGAAAAAAAGTTTTCTCAAGGTCTGTAATATAGGCCTCTGTGGTAGAGATAACTTCCTCATTCAAATAAAATTTCTACCCAGCAAGTAACTTTCTTAAATTGTGAAAAAAAAGAAGACGCATATAGCCAAATCTGGAGAATACGGTGGATGGGGCAGCAATTCTTAGCCCAATTTCACCATTTCAGCCGTAGCAAGTGTGGAGGTATAACCCAGTGCGTTGTTGTGGTAGAAAAGCACTTTTTCGTCGCCAAATGGGGCCATTTTTTTAATTCGTCATCAAGACGCCCCAATCATTTGACATAGTTCTCCTTTGTGACCGTTTTGCCCTTCTCCAGGGTGTCAACGTATACTACATTTCACATCTCCCAGAAAACGATGACCACCACCTTTCCAACCAATCGAAGCCTTCGATTCCTTTCAAGCAGGTTCACCACGTAAAGTCTACTATTCTTACTGTTCCTTGGTTCTTAGGGTGTACCAGTGGATCTATGTTTCACGGTCATGCAACGTTGCAAAAAAATTCTTCAGATTGGGCTTTTGAAGTGCCCACTATCTCACGCACTTCGTATCAGTAATCTGCCAAAACGTACCAAAACGAGGTCATGGTTTTTCATCACATTACTCTGTGTGGTTGCTGTTTTCCGGGAACTCAGACGTGACTCATCAAGTACTGATGTGTCACCACGCTGAAATTAGTTAAACCAATTTTTGATGGTTATTATGGAAGGAGAAGTGTTTCCATACACTGTATAAGTGCTCTTTGATTTAGTTGCACGATTCCACTTTTAAAAAGAAGAATCAAATTATCAACTGATATTACTCTTGTTACATGCTTCTAAAGCTAACAGTAACGCTTACTTTCGCACGCTCTCAAATTCAGAACTGCAAGCTTGATCAGGCTGAAATTTTTTCCACAGCCGTCTACAGAGAGGTACTACACTATAGTGCACTTTTGTTGCGACAGTGGCACCTTTAGGTGATAAGGCTAAGTACTTATCGGATCACCCGCACATGTTGCATGTATCATCAAATTGGGGAACCTATACCATAGACACGTAAGCTATAGACTATTCATCCATGTATCAAGTGTGGAGCTAGACAGGGATAAGTCGAATAAAGTATGAAGGCTACGAATCTTTTCTTTTACAGCTCTTCTCTGATTAGCTCTTAATGAATGCTACAAGACTGCCAACCCCCCTTAACTTTTTTTGACATCGAAGTGATAGTAATTTTTTTTAGGCACTTACTCAAATGGCAACAAACCGCATTATTTCCTATCGGTGGGGTTAAATCTGCAAAGCATCTGGAGCATATGTAATTATGACTATCCCCAATCAACTGAGAACAAATAACGTGTGATATTGACATCATGAGCACGTGCCTAGAAAAAATGATTTTCAGTCGAGTGTAAAATTTTCTGTTGTAGAGAAAGAGAGTTTTACTGACTTGGTTTCGTAATATGTCACAAATTATTTCAATGAACTTTCATTTTTTAGGGTCTCAATAATTCATAACTGTGATAATGATAAGTATATTTCAAATGATTCTAGAAACATAATTTCTTACTACTCATATCTGCTTATCATTCTAATCAAAGTTGGTACAAGAAAGAATAATTTTAGTAACGAAACAATCGTCAAAAATGTTTTGTTATGCTTTGATTACAAATTGTACGAGATTAAGGTGCTTATTGAATGCCATAAATAATAAATATCATATCATAGAGATACTTACCTAACAGCAAAAGTTTAATGTCCTTAGCTGCTTGAATACCATCTTCTTTTAAGTTTCTTTCAATTTGTTTACTTCGAGCTAAGGCTGCTCTCTCTTCTGCAGACATGGCACAGCCCATTTTTGTTATCACTAATCTACGAATCGTGGTAGAATAAATTTTCTATTATTCTTTACAAAAACCATCTACTAATAAAGCATTACTATAGGCGCTGTATTTATTAAACTTATTTATTTAAATCTTTCATACGATTTATTGAGTTTTCAAGAAGAGTGTGTTCCAAATTTTGAATAAAATGACATTACACAACTGTCTTCTATTCTTCTACTGATTTGCATAAGACCTGGAAGAACAAGATTTTTTTTATTAATTTGTTTGATAAAAGGTATAGAAGTATATTTTACTAATATCACTACACGATACAAAAAAAATTGCACTACATAGGACTATACAAGACTACATGTTAAGTTGTTAATAGACAAAACTTAATTCACTCAAAAGCTTGTATATATTATTCACAACTAATCGTCATGTTTTCAACACAAATAACCATTCTGAATCATTTTTTGACACAAGATTCAAAAGTTTTACGTTATATAGACGCAAGGTAGTCCTAAGAAGTATTCTATTCAACTTGTTTTTAACATTTCTACATTTGTACTTGAATACTTTTTGTTTTATTTATTATTTATAAAGAATCGTTGCCGTTCTTGAAAAATTTACGAACAGTGTCAAGACACAATTCTTAGAAAGAATTCTTGCAGAAATTTCTACAAAAATCTTACATGAAAAGTCGTGAGAAGTGTAACCAACAGATTGGTTTCACGGATTTGATTATTGTTTATAAATACATGCATAAACTTAAATATAAAATTATATGTAAAAATATATCCATATATAGATAGCCAACTTAACTGTTAAAATACTCTCCATAGCCTACGCCCCTGAAACTCACATAAATACAGTCCGTAAACTGTAATTTCTTCAGAATTTTTGTAGGATTTTTTGTAAGATTTTTAGCAGTAAGTTTTACGAAAGAGCCACTATAATTTTTTGATTTTCTATATAAGCTTGTAATTCCACAGTATAAAGCAGTACTAATTTGTGTCATTATTTAGAAAGCAACAAAATATTATGTGGTGGCAGAAAATGTAAGATATATCTTTCTATTCACAGAAGGCCAAAGTGTCCAGTTTCCTGATGATTGCATGCATAAATGTTAGGGATCAGTAATTAATTTTGTACTAAGCTTCCATGCATAGGTAACTTCCTTACATTAGGAAAGACATACCCAGGCATATACCCTTGTTCGTCTAGAGGAAGGGCCCTCAGTCATGTTTAGTGCTCGTACTTGCATACGCGGGTAAAATGTTTTTTGGTCAGTACATTTATCTCATTACATTTTTATTGTATAAACAGCATAAATTGCAGTTGCAAGAAATTCTATAAAATAGAATTTTTCTACTTCTCTTGACTAATACTTCTAAAAAAATAATTTCAAAAGTCAACTTAACATATATTAATAACAAAGATATAATCTAATCATTATCATCTAACGCTCAAGAGGTACTAAGTAAGTTCAACGAACAGCTGAATTCAACCATAACAAGTATACCACTATTTACTTTGCAATTTAGATCTGCACACACGCATTTTCAGAAAGTAGAAAGTAGTAGAAAGTATTGTTTTTTGGTCACTTTGCCTTACATATTTTAGTTTAATTCAGACTTTTTCGTCCTCTAATTATCTTTATTATTATATTTTACAGAATAGCGTTAGAATAATGAATTTAAGACAGGTGCAACTCAAAATATTTAGTTCAAAACTATATCAGGCTCAGCTGTCACGATAAATAAAATAATACTATCATGAACTTAGTTGCAAGATATAATTTTCCTGTACATTTAGGATAGGAGAGTTCTAAAAATCAAGCAGTGCTGCCAACAGGTATTTTCTAGGTTTGTAGCAGATATCATGCAGCGTGTGTGAAGAAGACGCTTGCTTGATGGTAAATTTAAATGCTTATGAAGATCATCTAACTAAAAAAAATATACTCCCATGAATTGGTACTCCATGGATGTAAGCGTCATAATCTCAATCATTAAACTAATCATTATTATTTATCAAATTATTCATCGACAATAAACCATTGAACAATTTTTTTAGCAGTGAAAGTGACTTGTGCACCATTTATCTAATCATAATACGTAATAAATAAGAATCTATTGTTAATATTGCTTGATTGTTCAATGAATGTAGACTATAAAAAAAAAAATTGCTTACAATTTCAAAATATCAAAGTTTTTTACTTTAACAATTGAAACATTTCCTTTTTCTAGTTAGTTAATAATAGTTTTCGTCGGATAAGTACCATCGTCTGCGAGGCTATTTTGCGGCCCAAGGGACCTGCGAAGCAGGGCCCAAGGGACGTAAGGCAGTCGCGTAGCAATGGCACTAATGTGGCGAATGCTATTTTTCGTACTGAGAGCACACCAGCCTCTTTAACACGCCCGTGGTAGAAAAAATAATTTATCCTACCTTAAGCGTTTTTGAGAGGCTGGTGTGCTCTCGGTAGGGAAAATGGGATTCGCCACATAAGCTCCATCCCTACAAAATTTTCGTAAAAGAAAGTAACGCAATCTTTAAATTTAGAGATTTGTATGATATTTAATTAAACAGCTATTCACAATGAATCATAATAGCTATAGTATCGTAATGACCAGACTTGTTTAGAGTATGGTCTTAACTGTTTTATTTAAGTGTCATTCGTACGTCTCTTACACTTAGGGAAATTTTTTATAAATTTTATTGTAAATGCCCATAAAAATTATCGTGCGGAGCGGTAAACGTGGGACTAGGTCGTCACTCCGGACTTTTCACCTGACCTCAACAATTTTTACCATTACGCCCAGTAAAAATCATTGGATGCCCAACAAAAATTCCCTTCACAACTCACGAGCCAAAGTTCACTGTAGGTAAAACAGAGACCACATTTAACGTATTTGTTGTCAGTACAGGATGCGACAAAAAAAATTTTTCTTAACTACTTGATTGTAGTACGCATCACTGTACTCTTTTTTTTTTTCTTTTTATTAATGTAACCAATTGTAAATATTTATTTACAATAATTGAAATGTATCAATCAAATTTATTTAAACACTTGAAAACTAAGCTGATTTGACATTGAAAGTTGACTGTCCGATATACACAAGATTTTTAAAGAACGTATATACTATAATAAAGAATGTAAAATACTATAATAATTTTATTGCTTCAAATACAATATGCAATTCAACTACGGTCTCTGTTTTACCTACAGTGAACATTCGCTCGTTAGTCGTAAGGAGAATTTTTGTTGGGCACCCGATGATTTTTACTGGGTGTCACGGTAAAAATTGTTAGGTTAGGTAAAAAGTCCGGAGTGACGAGCTAGTCCTACGTTTACCGATCTGCATGGTAATTTTTATGGGCATTTACCATAAAATTTATAAAAAATTTCTCTCAGTGTAGGATTTAGCTCGTGAGCTTTAATTGCTCTTTTGAATTGAATAATAATCTTTATTTAAATAATATGGATGATTTTAATTTATGCATTTCTTTATTAGAGCTAAATAATAATAATTAGTTCTTTTAAATACAATTTACTCGGGTCACTTTAACAAGGTTTGGCGTTAATTTTGTTACCAATAAATAATTTACATCCATCACTGATTGTTGTTATTGCTACTTCAGAGTTCCCTAATGCTTGGTGCGGTAACCTTCAGTGTTTCCTTAAACTACACGAATGAATTCGTGACATTCGAGTTACCTCAGCCAACACATGATGCCTTACGTGTATACTCACGAGTCACGAGAGTCAAGAGTTGAGTAAAACTTTTGAGGACAGGTGACAAACGTAAAGAGAGCAATTTTTCCTCTTGATGGTGAGTTTTTTTAGTGTCAAAGCGAGTAAAAGAGGCATTTGGTTAAATTAGGTCAACCAATAAGCGATGTTCTTGCAGACTGTGTTGACAGCAAAACAGTAGTCTTGCACGATAATGTTACATGTTATGATTTCATATATTAGGAAATAACAATACACCAGTACCAATTCTATTTTTCTGACAAGTGCGATTAAGTTTTTGGGTCAGTGATGATGAAAGCTCGCATCAGCAATGTAAGAACACAAAATACAAGTTCAATTGTGACAGTATAATAGCATCTTATGCGATAAAAACGACAAACGTTTTTTTGTTGTTACTTACCCTTTTTTTTAATAATTATTTTAATGCTGGTATCACTTGCTGGTATTACTGCGCACGGTTATAAAATTAGCAGCAGTAGCTGTGCCCCCAATTACTGCGCAGGTATCTCCCATAAGGTTTTCATGCTGAAGCCCTAGACCCAATTGCTGCGTACCAATCACTACGCACGACTACAAAATTTTGTAGTTTAGATTCGTTTAGAGTCACTCAGTTAAACAATTGTAAATGTCATGATGTAAAGTATGATTTTAGATTGAACGTTATTTATGTCCGTACGTGTTACAATATCCAAGCACCCGAATTTCTCAGTCTGGTTTTCTTATTTTTAGTTACCGTCGAGTGCGCAGTAATTGGTGCCAGCGCCGTAATTGGGAAACTAGTTTTAATTGATTTGAGGGTTTTTGTGAGATTTTACTACCATTTTAGTCAATTAAATCATTACTTCCTTGTATAATTAGTTATAGTTTTAGGGGTGCACTAGAGTAGCGATCGAATGAAGTGATACACACTTTCCTTATTACAATTACGTCATCTTCCGGCTTATTATTTAAAGGTTTTTTTTCGTTATCATATTGTATTTTTGCTTGCGTTTTCATTTTCATTTGTTGGTTTTCTGCCGGATCTTGCATTGCTTAGAGTCATTGAGAAGGATCTCATAAATATAATCAATAAAATCATAACTTTTGATTTTTAGGTATTTTTAAAGGCAATCTATCTGCTCTTTTAAATACTATTCTATACAGCGTAAAATTTGTTTCTTTATGTACACTCAAGTTAAATGTAAAAGCTGCAAGTTTTACTCAATCATCCCAGTCATGATATGTTTCTAAGTAAATTCGTACAATATCAGCTAAAGCAGCGTAACTAGTTTCTAGTGATCCATTTTTCTAGGGATCATATGATAGAGATTTGAATATTTTTTGCCTCTTAATCCGAATCAGTATAAGTATTTTAGTCTTTATTTATTTCAGTCAATTCTTGTCATTATTTACTTCGTTCATAGTCATATACTGGAGGTTGTCCATTTTATTCTGAAGTATATAAATAGTGGGGTAATTTCTTTCGAAACAATCTGCATACCACAGCTCTGTTTTTCAGA